ATTGGGCGGACGGGGGGGTGGGGAGGGGGTACAATTTCCAACATCTAATTGTCCATGATTGCCAACCACAGCCATAAAAGAGCCCAAACGTCTGACTATCAGGAATATTCTCAGCACGGCCACCTGTTTTGGTCTTAAGATGGAATGAAAACTTTATGAATGACATTCCACATGAATGCTTTCCACAAGATTCCTAACCACATTATGGTGCAGGAAAAGAGAAAGCAGACATGTGACTTGAGAGCTGTATTGCCAATATGAAAATCCCACAATGTCCTTGGCAACACAACACCAACCAAGTCAGACACAAAGCAGTAACAAAACCCAAACGCCAAACCAGGAAAACTTTGAAAACCTGTTTCCTATATATATGGCTCAACAGTCCCGAGAATTCTTTACCGCAAACAACCGAAAGCTCTAGTGGACACTTGAGGCTGAGACAAGAGGACCTAATCCATGGCTAGTTGTCAGTCCTCCTTCCTTCCCTTCACGTGCTCCGGCACATTGTTGTTGGCCGACGGAGCAGCGGCCTCCACTTTCGTGTAGCCGTTGCGGTGGTGTGACTGAGACGAGGGTGGCACCCCCCACAGGATGATCGACCAATCGCGCTGGAGCGTCACCAGCGGGTGGACCTGGCCGCCCGAGGGCCCGCGGAGGACGTCGCTCTTGAAGAGCCTCCAGAAGAGGATGGCGTTGAGCACGTCCATGAACAGCATGGACAGGGAGATGAGGACCAGGTAGTGCGTGGTCACCTTGTGCGACCACACGAAGATGGACGAGGTGATGAGGGCGAGGACGCCGAATCGGAACACGATGAACGAGAGCAGGTTGAGGTACTTGATCAGCAGGTAGTGCCGGCTTTGGTACGGGGTCTGCACCATCTGAAGCAGCTTGCGCCAGTGCAGGAACAAGGAGTTGATCTCCACGGCAATGGCAACCACGTTGAAGCCGATCATGCCCCTCAGCATGACGTTGTAGAAGAACATGCCTCCCACCTAACACGAGAGTAGCGGGGGAAAAAGTGAAAAAAGAAAAATAAGGATCGTGCATGTATGCGGCGGGGTGGATGGGGATGGGGGTGGGGGGGGGGGGGGGGGTGTGTTTTTTTTTTTTTAATGAAAACTTTTAATTTGACACACATCAGATGAAAGAACAGCAGTTTCAAGCTAATCAAGTCAAACAATAAAGTAGAGAAAGTACCGGCATTGATCTGAAGTTCAAAATATGAAGGCATAATTTTTTTAATGACTATATCTAATCTCACAATTTCTATAACTCAGATGCATTACAGAATGTTGCAAAAACATATATTAACCACAAATTCAAATCTTATTTATTTCAACTGAAATTATCAATAAAAAGCCTTGAAACTTTCATTAACATTTCTAATGCCAATGTACTCACGCACAAAGAGTTTTAAAAATGTATAAAGGCAACAACAAACTCCCGTATTGCCACCTCGGAGGAAAAAAACAACAAAACAAAACCCAACTCACTGCTATGTGATGAAGAGAGACTTCCCACATCTTGAACAGCTTGTTGTTGACGATCAGATCCAAAAAGTCATAAAAGAAGTAGCCTGCAACGAAAAAAAAAGCCAAATAAAATAACAGCTTTCACTCAGATGTAAAAAAAACAATGTAAAAATTTCCGTTTGAGGCGGTGGCCAAGAGATGCCACCAGGCATTGTGGAAAATTGTCTCAACTTTTGAGCAGTCTAGCTATGGAAAACCTTTAATTTAGTTTTAGTAAGTGTGTTACAGCACTTGCAACACAGTACGGTCATATAAGTGCCGAAGATTAGAGGTGTTACAAGAGAGTAACAAACATAAAAAAGAAGGAGGGGGGAAAAGGACGATAGATGTTTGATAGGAAAGGAGGAGCAAACCACACCTAAACACCCACCAACCACCAACATGGAAAGCCTGTAGACCTTACTTTGGTCCAAATATGAAATTCACACACACATAAATACTAAGATAAATATGTACCCAAGTAAGTGTATGACTATGACAAACCATTCTTAAAATTTAGATAGTCGGAGAGTCTCTTTTTCTCAATCCTTGACAAGCAACACAAATAGAAAAAATGTGTAAAATCAGGCTTTTAAAATTTAATTAAAAGTGACCAAATTTAAGTACGGGAAAGAATGCAGAAAGTAATTAAAAATGATATCAAAAACTGCTATTATCATTGTGTTTTTTTCTTTGCATTGCAATGTGGACATCCTTCATATGACTGTCGTTAACATCAATGGAATGAGACTTAAACAGCAGAGAAACGTGCTAATACCAACTGCAATGCACTCCACTTGTAAATTTGACACGTCTTCACTCAACCAATGGGGTTAATAAAAGGGATACATATCAAGTACATCACTTAGTGTGTGATCATGCACTGTTGTTTTTTTTATCCGTCACTTAAAAACCTATCTCTGTGTTGATTACAAGAAGAAAAACCTACACAGTCCTGATTTAACTAACAACAGTGGCTTCTGCCTCTAAACCTGTTCTAAAAATAGAAATGTGCTCCGCAACCTGTTCTAAAAATAAAAATGTGTCCACAATCTGTTCTAAACATAGAAATGTGCCTGCGAACCTGGGTTGTGCCTGCGAACCTGGGTTGAGCCCACGTTTCTGAGCCGCTTTACACTACACTGTGTGCCTTTCTTAGTAAGTGTATTACTGCACTTGAAACATAATAAGGTCATATATAAGTGTGCAGGATTTGGAGAAGGAAGAGGAGATGGAGTGGACAAACAGAGAAAAATACCAACACACCTCACATGCACTTACACAGACTGTTTTCTTAGGCACATACACACGTACACTGAATAAACTAACTTACTTACTTACTAAATCTTAGTGACAATGATGTCTTCTCAAAATTCACTCAGAAGCCTTGGTACCTCACTTTCATCCAAGAGTGCATACTACTCAGTCAGTCACACACACACACACTTGACACACACATACACACACACACACACACACACACACAGAGATACACACACACAGAGATACACACACACACACACACACAGATACACATACACTTACACACACACACACAAACACACACACACACACACACACACAGATACACATACACTTACACACACACACACAAACACACACTTGTGTTCACTCTCAATATTCCCCCAAGTTTCCTCATCTCCTAAAGGTCATAGTTTATTTTAAGTACCAGGTTCATGTCATTTGCAACACAAAAAGGTCATACAAGTGCCGAAGATTAGAGTGAGGTGCTACACGACAGTCATCATCATCCAGTGCCAGATCTGCGACAGACATCGGCGATCATGGTTCTCCATTCATTCCTTTGCTCGGATGCTCTCAAAAAAGGCAGTAACAAACACAAAATAGAAGGAGGAGAGATCAGGTAGATAGATGTTTGATAGGAAAGCAGGAGCAAACCACACCAGAGCACCTGCCAAACACCTGCTAGGTCATTATTATCCCAATTGAATAAACAAGGAAAGCCAATAGGTAGGACTGAATCGTTTCCCTTGAAATCCTACTAAAACCCAGTCGGCCAAAGAACCCCGTTTTTCTTCTTTTTCTTTCTTTTTCTCCAGATGGGGTTCCTAAGCAGAGTCCACTGTAATATTTATATGTCACGACGTGGTGAAATCAGGCACTCATCAATTTTTGGGCAAGTGAAGTTATTGGTATCATCAGGAAGCTTATTCATAATATCATTTGCCTTGCTTTCAATGAAAAAAATACCCATCTGCCTAGAATAGAAATCAAGATATTTCCGATTGAAGGAGGTGAGGACGCCTGGTTTCTGTGGTTAAATAAGCAAGAAAATGGCCCTCAAAGTTTGGTAACTCCAATTGCTAAAGAGTCCTTGAAAACGGAGAAATTACATATTTTGTGCCGTTAATCAATGTTTTTCAGTAAAATTCACATGGAAATGTTTTACATGTATGGAAGTGAAAGGGGTAGAACTAAAAAACAAAAATTCGGAAAAAATCGCCAAGCTGGTGGAAAAATGCCTGTTTCTCCCATTTTTTGTTATTTCGACGAGCGCCTGAATTCACCACGATGACTCATATTGTATGCATCATTAAACGGCTGCGAAACTTGGAAGACAACAAACACAGTGCTGAAGAAAGTCCAGACTTTTGTCAACAGATGTATGAGGAGTATCCTAATAATTAAATGGCAGGACAGAACAAGAAATGAAGAGCTGAGGGAAGGGACAGGACAAAACTATATAGAAGTAGAAATAGAACTAAGAAAGTGGCGATGGATGGGACACACCCTCAAAAAGCCCACTAGAAAAATCACAAGACAGTCGCTGCAGTGGAACCCACAGGCCGAGGGAAACATGGAGGAGATGCGTGGAAAGGGACATGAGAGAGATGAAGCTCACTAGGAAGAAGAGCCCAAAGCAGAGATAAATAATGGAAGGAGCTTGTATGTGGTCTATACCCTGCCAGGGGTGAAAGGCATTGAAGATGACATCATTAGGGTAAAAATAAATATACGGTAAAATGTGGGTGGTTGGCGGGTGCTCTGGTGTGGTTTGCTCCTTCTTTTTCATCAAACACTTATTGTCCTGATCTCCCCTCTTTCTTTTTTGTGTTTGTTACTCCCTTGCAACACCTCTAATATTCGGTAGTTATGTGACCTTATTTGTGTTGCAAGTGCCGTAAAACTCTTACTAAATCTAAGATAGCGTAAACTGAGAGATGGAAAGTTTACTGCAACTAAAACTTACAAATTTACAGATTCCCATCAGCAAGAATGTGTACTCTTTATTCATAAAATTTGAAACATAATGCAAGTGAGGGTATATTAAGCTCATGTATGACAGCATGCTAGCAATACCGCTGGATCAAAAACCAGAACATAATCCAGTTCACAGCTTCCATTTTAAGGACATGTTTTTTCTGTCAACAAAAAAACAAACAAAAAAACAACAACCCAGAACATAACCCAGTTAATAGCTTCCGGCTCAGGCCATATTTCCTTAAAATTTCTTTATCACACAACTCTTCCTGTGTCAACTCTGACTAAAAAGACTTTCAAGCTAGCAACATTGGTCATTGTAATTTTAAACATTCAGGTCGGCTAACCTGGATGAGTCAGACACAGCCCAGCAGAATGTAAGTGATAGGCCTACATCTACTTGATAAAATATCTTGCCCATGTAGGAAATACTATTGACTTAATTATAAAGTAGACACTAGTATAACATGACTAATTATGATAATATGACTACTATGACCAGTGATTAACTAAGACAGTGAATGCGTGAACATGAAAGAGAGAACAAAAAAACTTTCTCTTCAACAAATTTTTCCTGATCATATCACCCATTGTTGTTACCTCCACAGGACAAGTCAGATAACCTATTTATTTCATACCATGTTATTAAAAGGTGAACCTTGTCTAAAGTAGGGGTAAAAAAACAGGTCAAGATAGGAGGAAACAGTACAAAGGACAAAACTCATTGTTTGAACAAGCACTGGGTTGTTGTTTTTTCCTTTCCTGTCTGACAAGCGTCACAAGACACACCAATGCAAGATATGAAAACTATTTTAAGTTTATTAAAAAAAACAAAAAAATAATGCAATGATACATAATCAGTAAATAAGGGAAGGGCTCTTATCAGAAATGGTGTGGGTGTTGAAAAGAACCGGATAAAATTACTTGAAAGATATTCGAAGTGGAGGGACATTCCTTTCTACAGACTACCCCTCCCGTCCCCCCACCCAGGGTAGTGCTACTGACTGAAGTGTCTTTAAGGCCGTTTCCAAAGGGGGAATACTAACATGTTCTTATGCACAGTAGAATTGTAAATGGGCTGATTAATCAATGTCATGCTCATACTGTGCCAGAACAACATAAGGGGAACTACTGCTTTTTCTTTTCTCATCCTTACTTACTATTCTCATTTTTCCTCTACTTCTTTTGTATGTTTGCAATTCTCTTGTGGACTGCTCTTTCCGCGGAGCCTTGATAGTCGAAGCAGACTTTGTGCTGCTGAGGCTAGAGAGGCAAGCAGAGTAAGCCTGATTCCCCGTTTGGTCTTCTCTGTTGACATCCACCCCTTGGCGCTCATATCACCTTACGCAGTTGCGAGCGCCGTAAAACCTTACTTAAATAAACAAAAACCTCTACAGACTGTTGAAATGAAATGGTAATTGGTTTAACGCCCCTATCAACACAATTAAGTTGTCTGAGAGGTGGGACGACCAAGTTTAAAGTCCATCTCCTAAAGACACAACGTCGGACCGAGCAGAGGCTCGAACCCCCATGCCCCCATTCTCATGATTACGAGTCCGGTAGCCCAACAACTCCAAAGCTACCATACAGACTGTGGCCAGCAGCCTTTTTGAAATCTCTTACAGTTGGAGCTTTTGATCTTTCCATCATACAGGGTAAGGGGACAAACAAGACCAACAGTTTGATAGCAAAAGGTATGGCCTGGCCATAGGAGAAATAATACATGTCACTCAAGCATTCATACAAAGATAAAACACATACTTTCTGAAGAGCCTGAGTCTTTTGACCTCCATCTTTCTAGTAAAATTTGTACAGCGAGCTTTGCCATTGAAAAAATCTGTTTAAATTTAAGAAGTCTAATCATAATGTACTCCATGCCAGGGAAGAACAAAACCACATGTCTCTATAAACCAAACAGAGCTCTGCGCTCATACATTTATTAGAAATAAATAAATGAGAAAATTGTTTCAAGATATTCTTTCTCTTGGGAGTTTGAAAACAACTAAAAGCCACCCCTAATTCTGGTCAAATTCTGCTAGCATATAATATATATGAAAAGACCACAGAGGAACAAACTCAAAGCAATTGAGCACAGACCAGACTTCACCAGACTTCACCAGACTTTACATTAGGCTGGGTTTTTCTTCTGCTCCCTCCAAAAGTAAGATAAGACTGAACATGTTGTGATCAGTGATCTTATCAAGCCTAACATTACAAAAAAACACTCCCGAGTTGAGAGTGGGACTGGCAAAACAGTCCCAACGTTTCACAGAGTTAAATAGAGACAGGATGGAAGTATTAACTGAGAACTATTTATTTCTTCAAACCATAAACTGAGAGCTATTTTTTCTTTCTAAACAGAACTGATGCTCTTTCTCAAAGCAATACGCACAGGATTAAGCATTTTGGGAGATTACAGGTGAGACTTTTCATACCACTGAACTGAAGATATTATTGTACACAACTAAACAACATAGCATTCCGGGTCAACTTATTTACCATAAAGCTCAGGCAATAAGCTACCATTTTTTCCCCCAGCTTAAATCGCTGCGGCATAAACAATTATTTGAGGGTTTTCTGTGATTGCAGAAACATCACTCACTTGCGCATTATTATGGGTTTTTTTGTTTTTGGTAAGTGTTTTTACGGCACTCACAACTGCATAAGGTCATATGAGCGCACGGGACACACCTAATATTTTCAGTTGATAGGAAATTTTGAATTTTGCCCGGGTGGCGGCCGAAGCCTACTTTTATCGATTTTAGACCACCAAGGGATCTTTAACGTGCGCAATTTGCACATGGGCCCTCCGAGATTTCCTACCAGAAGATCAGGGGTGTAGCAGAAAGACAGCAGTTAGGAGGAGCCAAGGAGTAGCAGTAGAAAGGCTGCAGAAAGAGTCAGGAGCCCAGATGAGGGGGCAAAGGAGGTGTGGGGGTGGAGGCAGAAAGTGGAAACGAAAGAAGACAACAGAACATTGCTAGAGAGCAGGAAAGGAGGTGAAAGGAGACAATTTTAGAGAAGAAAACTTTTCGGTTGCTACTCGGATTCGAACCCGGGACCTTTAAATGAGAGGCCAACACCTCTAGGCCACGAGAGCCCCCGTGCATTATTAGACCTAAAAAGATTTTCTAAAGTTGACATATATTCCTCAACACTACTCGATCTGTTCACGTTTGACACCGAAGAGAAGATTTCAGCGGATTCAGCGGACAGGATGATAAGGACGTTGAATAAATGTATGTGATGTACATTTCTGTGTTGTATAATCTGCTGTGGTCTATTATAAACCAGTGTGGCTGGATTGTGAAAAAAGTTCAGCTTTAAAAAAAAACAGAGGGTGTGGCTTGTATACAGGTCCGCTTAATAGCCTGAACTTTATGGTAATCGATTCCACTGCCGATTCAAAAAATAATTTATCAAATCATACAAAAACTTACTCAGCCCAGTATTCTGTACAACGGGAACAGCTGCACAGAACTAATTAAATTACACCCAGTACACGAATTTAACAATAGAGAAAATAATCAACCCAAAGCATGATTGATGACAAAGAATTCTCAATGACTCGCTGTTTAATTTATGCAAAGAGCAGCATACATCAACATAATAACAGACATTTAGAGAAAGGAAAAAGTAAGATGAACAATAGTTTGGTTTTAGTACGAGTTTTACGGCACTAGCAACACAATAAGGTCATATAAGTGCTGAAGATTAGAGGTGTTATATGAGAGTAACAAACACAAATAAAAAGGAGGGGAGATAAAGCCAATTAGATGTTCGATAGGAAAGAAGAAGCAAACCACACCAGAGCACCTGCCAATCACCCACGAAGAACAATAGGTGAAACAGAGGAACAGTAAAGAAGTAAAGAATTAGATGATGAGGAACAGTAAAGAAGTAAAGAAGTAGATGATGAGGAACAGTAAAGAAGTAAAGAAGTAGAACGCACTATTGAAATCCTCCAAGCCTCCTCCCCCCCCACCCCACACCCCCCGCAGTGACTTACCCGTGGCCAGGCACACACAGAAGTAGGTGAAGTAGTTGATGTGCTGCAGCAGATTCTGGAACAACTCCGGGTAGGCCAGCAAGCTGCAAGAGAGTGAGCAAGAGAAAGTCTGTCATGTGTAGTGCTCACTTTTGAGGAGTTTTACACACCTTCTAGATACTACAATATGCTCAGATAGATTATTAAAGACGCTACAAAGTACTCAGACATAATTAAAAATACTTTACTTTTTCATCCTCTGTTGCTGTTAAGCGTCGTGAGGAGATGCAGTTTTCCAAGGTAGACCAGCTCCGCAGCCCTTTCAATTGGGATATTATAATATATCTAAGAGTTTCCTTGACTCCTTCAACTCTTTAAATCCCATCGAAAGCTGGCGGTAATAACCGTCTGATACAAGTGACAACTGTCTCGTTTCATTTAGGGCTAGTTTCTACAAGTTTTTCAGAACTATTCCTGATTCAAGTTTTTTAGTAATGACTACGCTTTGTTTCCGCCATTTAGAAGTTGGAGGCAAGCTTTTGGGGGTTACAATGAAACATAGTGCACCAGGTTTAGGTGACTCTTGAAAAAACTCCAGGAAAAGGTGGAAAGAACTGAGGGTTTAAAGAGTTCATCCATATTTTGTTTCGCCTTCCTTTTCCTTTATAGCCTGAGAGCTTGGTGTTACAGGCTCTTACGGCTGGCTGGCTAGGTGATATACGTAACAGGTGGCCAAACCATTTTATTCTCTATCTTTAAGAAATGCAAGTAGGTCTCAGTGACAATAGCTGCTCTTATTTCTTCATTTCTCTGCCTGTCTCGTCTTGTGATGTAAAGGGTTTTGAAGAGACATATAATCTTCAATGCTGTAGTTTTGCTTTCCTGAGTTTTACTTACAATGTCCAGGTCCGGCACCGGTAGCATAATGTTGGTATAAGTTTGAAGTGATCGACTGTCTCATTGTGGCCATGGAGATGTTTAGATGAGATAGAAGGAGTGCGAGCCAGTAAGTGACAGCGCTGGCTTTAATTTCCGGAGAAGGGACTGATTCAAACAGAAATTAAAGCTACTATAACGTGTAAAAGACTGGTTCTGGACTCCGATTAAGTATAAAAATAAAGGAGCCTGTTCATCTGCAGGTAAAGCGTTTGTTTGTATTCCATACCTCTATGAGCATGTTAAAATTCCAGTTCAAATTTTCCAGATCTTAGATCTCCGATAGTAGGTAGGTGGAAATAAATACAGCTGAATGCCTTACCATATCAGAGGAGGAACATGAAATTTAAAAAAAAGTAAGTTTCACGACACTTGCAACACAATAAGGTCATATAAGTGCTGAAGATTAGAGGCGTTACAAGAGAGTAACAAACACAAAAAGAAGGAGGGGAGATAAAGACAACAGACGTTTGACAGGAAAGAAGAAGCAAACCACACCAGAGCACCCGCCAACCACCTACAGAGCAAAGAGAAGAAAGGCTGATCAGACATAGCACACATTTGCTACATTTGTATCTTCCCCAAAAGTTGATTTTGAGAACACACAGATGGCTTCCTTGGAGGTATTGATGCTTCAGAGCATCTTACAAATCAACATTGTTGTTACAGCCCAAGGCTGTTGCTGTTTTCAGCTTTCCAAGGCTATGGCAGGAAAACAATATGTCTAGGAGGAGGGTAACAGGTGCATATATATATATATGGGTTAACCCTATCCGTACATCGTGTTTTACTATTGTATCCATACGACGTGGGGAACTCTGTGCCACCACTTTCCAAAGAGCAAATTTACTCTTTAATCCCATCCGTGTGCTTTGCATAGCAGTCTGTCAAAATGATTTTTTTGAGAAAAACTGAAAGTTTCAAAGAGACCTTCGTTCTAGAAGTATTCTAAAATGTGTTCACAATCTCAGGGGAACAAAATGACCCAAGGGCGTACGGATCTATTATAGGAGAGAGGTGTATCGCAAAGAAGATGTAGATGCACTAGCAAGGGGCTATCCAACCACCTGCATGGAAAGAGAAAGAGGAAGTATTTTGTCTTCATACATTTTAGAAAAAAAAAAGGGGGGGGGGGGGGGGGGAATTTAACATCAAAATCATGTTTTCTACATGCATACATCAGCAAAGAGCCTTACCATTAGACCACAGATGCCGTTTAACTCTTTGAACCTTATCGGACGCTGGGAGTGTCCGGCGGTAATAACCCTGTTCCCCATCGGACACTGGGAGTGTCCAGTACTAGCGACAACTGTTTCGTTTTATTTAGTGCTAGTTTTTGCTTGTTTTTCGGCACTATTCCCAAACCAAGTTTTTTACTAATGACTAAGCCTTTGTTTCCGCTATTTAGAAGTTCGAGGCAAGCAGTTGGGGTTATAATGAGACAGTACACTAGGTTTAGGTGACTGTAGAAAAAACTCTGGGAAATGGTGGAAAAAACTCAGGATTGTTATTATTGTCTTCAAGAGGAAACGTTACCCTTGAGGGCTGAAGGAGGCACTGTAACATGTTCTGGGGGGGGGGGGGGGGGGAGACAAGCTTGTTGACAACAAGCACAAGTTGAACCAGGGACACCTGATGGAGTGCAATCATAGTTTTAGGCTCGTTCTGTCGCGTAAACAGCCTTACGTAAAAAAAATCACAGGTAAATAGCCCAAGGGAAAAATCACAGGTGTGTCTGAGATTGTTTCAGAGCTGCACTTTCTACCCTCTTCCTTTTTTCAGCTTTGCTGTGCTCGTTTCCATTTCTCTGTAATGTCCCCTACACTTTGTTTTGTAGAACTTTATAGCTCTCCTCTTTTCTTTTTCTTGACCCTTTTTCGCTATCTTGTTCTCTGCCTCTATTTCTTCTCAATTTCTCTCTCTGAATCTCTCTTTTCTGTGTCTTTTCCCTTCCACTTTATTATTCTAAACCTGTTCTCTCCAGGCCCTCTTTTGCTTTAGTAAATAAATATAATTATGCTCAGGTTCAATGTGTCACGACGCGGTGGAATCAGGCACCCATCAATTTTGAGTATGTGGAGTTATTAGTATCATGTGAAAGCTGATTAATTTGCCTTGCTTCAAATTAAATAAATTATATACATTTATCTTGAATAGAACTCAAGACATCTGCAATTGAAAGAAATGAGGTCCCCTGGTTTTAGTGGTGAAATTAGTGAGAAAATGGCTGCGAAAGTTTGGTAACTCCAATATCTAAAGAGTCTTTGAAAACTGAAAAATGACATATCTAGCGCCTTTAATCAATTTTTTCAGTAAAATTAACATGTGTAAATCTTTTTATGCTGACATAAAAGAGGTTTAGCCAAAAAATAAAAATTCTATCAAAATATCCAAACTAGCAGAGCATGTTTCTTCAATTTCATAATTTTGATGAGTGCCTGATTAGTGGCTGATTTCACCACCATCATAATATATATATGAAAGACAGCATTGTTCACGGCCAGAATCCAACAAAATATTCCCAGGTAGGTGAAAAATAGCAAAAGGACATATTGTTTTGACCAAGGGCCAAGCTGCATATAAATGTAATTAGTCAACATGTGTTTCAGTGGTAGACAAGAGGGAGCTTAGTAATATTAATAATGAAAGAAGGCATGCTTTTACTTTTGTGTAGTCAGGGCATGGGTCATTTTTTCATTCCGCCAAGAATTATAAGCTGACCCAAACACAATTGCTTTTCATTTGCACTTTTTTTGGGGGGTGCATTTTACAGCGATTATCGATAGCAACTTCATAAGGTCATGAGCGTGCAGGACACAACATATTAAGCATTTTCAGCTTGGTAGGAATTAATTTTGCATTCTGCCCAGATGGCAGCTTAAGCCTACTCTTCGATTTTAGGACCACCAAGGTTCTTTAACATTAGCAACTCGCACACAGGACCTCCAAGATTTTTTAGCTCTTATCTGAGAATGATGACAATGACAATGACAATTCATCTCGCAGGGAGAAATTTGTCTTGGTCATTAACAATGGCAGGATAGAAGGCTGGGTGTCGGATCTTAATTACACCTACCCTAAGATCAGGGGTAAGGGGTGAGGCTGAAAGACAGCAGTAAGAAGGAGCCAAAAAGCAGCAGTAGAAAGGCTGCAGAAAGAGTGGAGCCCAGAGCAAGCAGGGGGCACAAAGTGGAGGCGAAAGCAGGTGATAAAACATGGTTAGAGAGCAGAAAATTAAAGAAGGTAAAAAGACAATATTTTAGAGCGGAACATTTTCTTTCAGTGAGGTATCGTACCCGAGACCTACTGAAAGAAAGGCGAACACCTCTAGGCCAAGAGAAAGCCCCCTCACTAACACTGCTCTCTATACTAACAAACCGAAGAAAGGGCATAAAATTTTCTCCTGTTATTTCATTATTTATTCACTCTCCCTGTTCCTAAAAGCCCCCCACCTCTCTTTTCCCAAATTATCATACCACACTACAAAACACACATAATAATAAACATAATGGTGGAATGAGTACTAACGAAAAACTGTAATTTTTAAATTACATTTTGTACCCCGCGCTCACAATTAGTCCCTTGCTGCCTGTGCAGTCAGACTGGTCGATATTTTTATAATGTACAGAAGATGCTTTACACCCTCACAGTTAGATCATTAGGGAGGCGGGCTTTCGACCTTGCCTGTCAGGGTAAACCTTGTCTGAGATGAATTATACAACATCAGAGCAGAAAGACTTAGCTACTCGAAAAAATTTCTTCCCACTCGAGAATTGAACTCAGGTCTCTCCTGCATGAGACAGTGTTCTTAAAGCGTCTTCTATTGCCTCACCAAGATACCAGTAGACTGGTCGAGTCTACCTCAAAAGGGAAAGGCAGAATACTAAGCTCATGGCTGCTAAGAGTGTATGATTTTTTTCGACTTTTTATTGTTCTGATAATCAGGAGGTGGTGTTGTGTGAACCAGCAGTCTGCTGTCTCAGCCTAGATTTGATTTGAAAGATCAACACCACAGCTACATTCAAATCGAATTTCAATCTGAGGGAGCAAAACATCAGGGCTTCAGGATATGATACACAGGTTGAAACTTAATTCTCTCAGACAGAAGGAATGCCTGCCTAACTGGATAAAACAAGAGTTAGTATACATATATATTTAAAGTATACTACCAGTCCAATTTTTGGCGAAAAAGTCTGGGGGGGGGGGGGGGGGCTCAAGCTGCAGGCCAAATACTATAAGACGCCACTGCCTATACGTTTGATTTGCGTTAAAACAAAATTAAAAACATAACATTTAATTTTACATCTTGATGATTTGGCCCCTTCTTAGTGATCTACTATAAATGTGAGTGCTAGTCCTAGTTCTTGTTGACTGTTGACGTCAAACTCTTTGTTTGGAATCTTTTTTCTGCATTTTTCTTTTGCCTCTGGAGGAAACTGTTTCTTGCTCTATAGCTCTGCACTCTTGACTCTTCAAACTTAACCCTGAGTTTTTTCTACCGTTTCCCAGAGTTTTTTACTACTACTACAGTCACCTAAACCTGGTGCACTAATGTCTTATCATAACCCCAAAATCTTGCCTCCAACTTCTAAATGGCGAAAACAAAGAAGTCAAATATTTGGTTCGGGGAGTTCCAAAAAACAAACAAAAACTATAATATAATATAAAAATTACGAAGTGACTATTTCTCCGAACATTCGGGAAAATAAACTTGAACTGATATTTCTCCAAACGGTTTCCGTTCTCGAGATTTTTTGGTTAAATTCTCTAGAGTTGAGCGTAATCTTTCATTCTGCCACTCTGCGAGGTCTGGGAAGAAGTATATAATATATATTTCTACACAGAATTCAATTTCTAGAGCTAGAGATACTCTGAATATTCAGATACTTCAATTGTGGTTAGGGCAATGTTCCTGTATATGAAAATGCCTTCAAAAGGTGCTGAGAGAAAACAAGACTGCTCAACTTTGGCAGTAACCTATTTTGCATTTAGTAACCCCATTTTTCAAAAACTGTCACAAAAATCCTCTCCACTCCACCCATCTACGCCCCCCCCCCCCCCCCCCCCATTCCGTTTACACCTTACACATCATACACACACACACACACACACTCACTCTCTCACACACACACACACACAGGCGCACGCACGAGCGGGCTGGCCACTCCAGTATTAAAATCTCAAGAACGGAAACCGTTCGGAGAAATATAATAGAGTTTCAAGTTTAAATTTTCCCGAGCGTTCAGAGAAAAAATAGAGCCGACCTTAAAATTACGCACGGCTAGACTGAGAGTCTAGCCGTACTTAAGTACGGCTAGACTGCCAGTCTAGCCGTACTTAGATCTAGGTTTGGCCCAATCGACTCAAGCCTGTTTAAGTACACAGGTTTCACTAGATCTAGATCTAGTAATTATTCAGGTTCAAATACATGCAAGTCAGTAAGGCACCTTTTGGTTTTGTCTGAAATACAAATACTTTAGGCATTGCAAACTAAAAATTTCATTTACAATTCAGCCATCAATATTAAGTACGGCTAACCTGACAGTCTAGCCGTCCTTAAGTACGGCTAGCCTGGATGTCTACCCGTACTTAAGTACCGCTAGACTGCCAGTACCGCTAGACTGCACACTAAAAATGTATATTTACAATTCAGTAGGCCTATTTTTTGTAAATTTATAGGTCAGTCTAGCCATCATATTAAGAATAAGTACGGCTAGCCTCTTCCTTAAAATTATGAAACAGTTGTCACTAGTATCGGATGCTCCCAGTGTCCGATGGGGAACAGGGTTATTAATTTTTAAAATGTTACCGCCGGACGTTCCAGCGTCTGATGGGGTTTATTTAAAGAAAGTGGCTATTCTCACCCGTCCGGAAGTTCTCGCAAGATCAACTCCTCCCCTCTTCTCTCTCTCTCTGTCTCTTTCTGAATACTGTCTATCGGTGTGGACGATCAAATTGACCAAAACAAAGTTACAAAATGATGTTAAAACACAAAAGTAAATTCATTTGGTTGTCTACAAAGATGCTACGGCTATTTAACTTTTCGAATCGAGCCGAACTACGCGGGTCGCCATTTTGTTTTGCCCGGAAATTCTCGCGCTACTCCTCTCTCTCTTTCTCTCTCTCTCTCTCCACTGCCCACAGACAAAATTGTACGCTTTTAGTAGGCTACAGTTGTAATGGAACGTTTGTTCACGGCACAAAATTCTACAATTTTTCTGTTATCACAGTGTAGAATTCTGTGGATTAGGGTGAACGCAAAATTTGGTGAACGCGCACCGGATAGAGGTGGCCTTTTAAAAAAAAGAGTAGGATTTATATAAACACAGTCTACTCTAGACTCTAGAGAATCTAGCAGAGACAAACTGAAGACTAACTTTTAGACATGTTTTGTCTTAGTCACAGTAACTGTGAATGAGAAAGAGTATATCTAGATATCTAGATGCATAGTAGATCTAGATATCTAGACTGTAATCTAATGAGTAGATCTCTAGGCCTGCTGTAGTGTAGGATGATGAAAGTGAGAAGGCTTGCTTATTGTGGCTTACAAAAAAACAAGGTAGAGATTAGTTCTTGAGTGAAGAAGTGCTTTGGCTGGACTGTAATCCAAACTTAAACTCTGCACAGCACATACAAATAATTCTATAACAATTGATTAGAATCTGTGCTAAAAACGACAGAAACATCACCGCCACCGTGTTTGGTAGGCCTACTAACCTGACTGAGCACCAGATCGAAATGATGAGGGCATGAACCCAAGAAACATACAAGTTTCGCCACTTCCATTCATCTTCTTTCAGCGTTTTAGGAGGTCCTTTTGATTTTAAGATCCAATTCACAAGTTGAAAGAATAACATAGAAGCAAACAAGAAATATACTCCATGTCTCAATTCAATATCATCTCTCATTGCAGAAAAATCAGGCTCTTTCGCCTCCGTCATTTTTGGATGGTGCGCTACAGTTTCGTTTTCCGTCGCCATTGTCGAATGCGGAAGTATGAGTCACGTGACCGCATCGCACTGAAACAACTCCCTAGCAACAACGGCGTCCTCGGACTTTACATTAGATGCAAGAGTTTATTTTCCAAAGTTTTGTTCTTTGTTAGTTTGAGAGAGAAATGGATGATACCTTCACATATTAACTACTACTACTACTACTACTACTCACGCTTAAATTTTATGTCCATCTCCGATAGCCCGGATAGCCAATAATTGGACCCACCAATGAGCGGCAGGGCCTTGAAAGATCCCCCAAACAACCCAAGTCGAAGAATTTTTGTCAGATCTCGTATCCTGTAGTGATTATATCGCTTCATATGCCTATTAAATAGCTTATGATGATATGACGAAATGTGGGCATCCTATGATCCCCTTGTTTCCTCATATTATAAAGTCAATATTTTATTTTTCTTTATCGGCTGTTTTCTCAAAACGCGACATTTTGCTCTAGCCTATTATATACTTATTTTAGAATAACTCCACCATTCTTAATCCAATCTTCAAGAAAGTTTCACAAAATGAAGAAAAGAGGTAATATTAAAAATTGTATTAGTTGAATTTTTTATATATGGAATAGATTTTTGTTAGTGGTGTCTGGAGTGTGGATTTTCACGGATTTTTTGTTGTTGCAAATTTGAATATATACTACTGAAGGAAAAAATTCATTAAAAAGTTTTCTAATTCGTTTAGGAAAAAAAAAACAATAAACAAATTTTAAAATCTAATGATTGCTAACATGTATGCAAAAAAACCCCCAACTAATTTCCATCAGCTTAAGTGCGGTCTGGACATGTCAATAATATCCAATATGGTCCCCGTATCAATGGAAACTAAACTTTTTTTTCTCGAATTTGATTCCGGATTATAAGACTCCTCACTCCTCACTGTGCTTGCTATGTGTGTGAAATATTGTAAAATTTGGTCTGCCAATATGCGAGATAGCCTTCAGGTGTAGAT